TGTACTTACCTACATGCAGGCAATACATGCATACACACAAAATAAAAATAACAATTTTTTTTAATTAAAAAAAAATAATAATAATAAAAGAAAAAAAAAGTAAAAAGCTGGGTGTTGTCCAGGCATGGTGGTGCTCTGTGAGTTCAAGGCTGGAGCTACAGGGAGATTCTGTCTCAAAAAGACCAAAAAAAAAAAAAAAAGCTGGGTGTGGTGGCAACATGCCTTAATCCCAGCACTTGGGATGCAAAGGCAGGCAGATCTCTGAGATGTAGGCCAGCCTAGTCTACACATTCAGCTATATAGCTTCAGGGAGTAAAGTTACTAAGAAAAAGGACATGTACCTACATAAGACAAATGAACAAAAAGTATTCGGATGAATTAAGGGATCAGGTGGGGTGAAAACATGTGTCTCAAAAAAAAGGTTTAAGGCCAGCCTGGACTGCCTAATGAGTTCAGATTGCTTAGATACATGGTGAGCTCCTCCTGATAAAAATCAAAAGACAAATGGAAATACTTTCTGGAACGTCAGAGAGAGAAGTAAAAAACAGTTTTAACCGCTACTCTCAGGCAGGAAATTCTCTTACTGTAGAATTCTTATGTGTAGGAAAAGGAAAAAAAATGTGTGCCTAGGATAATAACTACTGAGATTGAACATATACAAGACAGGGGATTCACTTACTTGTTTAGACAAAGGTGAGCTTCAATGAAGATATCCTTAGCTTTGTCAGGGAAGTCCTTTGCTTTAAAATCAGCATCAAATTCTTTTATCTTTCGGATCCTATAAAATTAAGCATAAGTGTGGCTCAGTGGGTAAAAGTACTTGCCACCAATTCTGATGACCTGAGTTCAAGCCTCAGGAGCCACGTGGTAGAAGGAGAGGACTGACTCCCCCAAGTTGCCCTCGCCATACTCATACTGTGTTGTACACACACACACACACAAATAAATAAAATGTATTAACGTCTTCATACAATTCCCATAACTCACAATTCACACTAACCTCCACCAGTGTCTGTCTACTCATTTAATAATTATTTTTTGAATGTGTCAAGTCCTGTGAATTGAGTTCTCTCTCAAATTAACCATTGGAAAGAAAGATCAAGTTGTGAACCATGGTGGCCCACACCTTTAATCCTAGCACTTGGGAGGCAGAGGCAGGCACATCTCTGTGAGATCAGGGCCAGCCTAGTCTACACAGCAAATCAGTCTAGTTGGGGTTAGAGGAAGATCCTGTCTCAAAAAGACCAAAAAAAAAAAGAAGAAAGAAAGAAAGAAAGAAAGAAAGAAAGAAAGAAAGAAAGAAAGAAAGAAAGGGAAAGAAGCTGGACAGAATGCATACTGCTCTTGCAAGAAGCACCAAGTTCTATTCCCAGGTGTCTTACAACTGCCTGTAACTCTAGCTCCAGAGGACCTAACACCTCTAGCCTCTAGAGGCGCCTGCACTCATGTACATATACGCCTACACAGACATGTACACATACATATAATTAAAAATAAATCTTTGTAGCTGGGTGTGGTGGTGCACGCCTTTAATCCCAGCACTCGGGAGGCAGAGGCAGGTGGATCTCTGTGAGTTCAAGGCCAGCCTGGTCTACACAGTGAGTTCCAGGACAGCTGGGGCTACAGGGAGACCCTGTCTCAAAAAGACCAAAAAATAAACCTAAATAAAAAGATAAATAAATAAATAAAATCTCTGTGGCTTTCTTGTTTTGGGGGGGGTCTCTCTGTAGCCCCAGATGGGCCTGGAACTTGCTATGTAGACCAGGCTGGCCTCCATCTCATAGAGATCTGCCTTCCCCTGCCTCCAGAGTACTGGGATTAAGGGCATGCATCATCATGCACCTCTGGCCTTAAAAATAAATTGCCCCCCCCCAAAAAAAATCAAGCTTTCACAAAATGAAACTTCAAAATTCTGGGATCAAAGAAAACATCCTATAAGCACTAAGGGAGAAAAATGAGCTAGAGGTATAGCTTAGCAGTATAGTACAAGCTGAGTATGTGCAAATCCTGGATTCAATATAGCACCACAAAGAGAAGGAGAAACAAAATCAGACAAGTTCAGTACAGCAACATCAAATATTGAAAAAACAATGGAGCAGTTTTTTTATTTGGTTGCTTGTTTTTTTTGAGAAAGGGTCTTCCTGTATCCCCAGCTGGCCTGGCACTCACTATGTAGGCATATACCACCACTCCTAGGGTAGTATTTTAAATAGAAGAAAATGGTATTTTTAGCCCAGAATTCTTGACTTGGGTAAATTTTAAATCACATGGGAAGTAAAAGATTTCTCTTTTAGATTTGCAATGCCTTAATGACTTACTATGCAAACTTTTTCAGAAAGGTGCTGGAGAATATGCTCCATTGTAGTAAAAATTAAACCACTTAAAACATGAAAAAAAAACACACACACACACACACACACACACACACACACACACACACACATATCCCATAAATAAGGAAACATAAAAGGAAACACACAGGATCCAAGAAACCGACACTGTAACATGAGTGGAGAAAAGGAAATACTAGGATAAGAGTAGAAAGTAGACCCCAAGATAAATAAGGGCCTAAAGAGTGATGAGTTCACACTGAAACAGGTAAGAAGGTTCCAGGAGGCAGTTCTTGAAGAAGAAATGATAAAATAATTATTGTCTTAAATGCATAGAGGAAATTTATATAAGCAAAGGATCTATAAACAAATGAGCAAGACAAAAGTTACAACTTTCAGAATAAAATAATGCAGGAAGGGAAAAATAATCATGATAGGACTCAACTGTCAACATTTTTATAGATAAAATAATATAAACATGGAATCCTGATTTAATCAAAGTGTCAATATAAGTATACGGAAATAAGAGACATCATGATCAACCAGAATTTATTCTAAGAACATAAGGTTGGTTAAACATTTGAAAATCAACATAATAAACCAAGTCAAATATAATGGTTCATGCCTATAATCCCAGCAGTCAGAAAGCTGAGGTAGAAGATTGTGAAGTTCAAGGCCAGTCTGGGCTATACAACACAGCCCTGACTCAAAAAGAGAGAAAAAGGAAACCAATGTAATATACCACATCCACCCAATAAAGATCAAATACCACATGACCTTCTCAACCTAGAATATTGAACCCTAGTTGCCTCAGACACCTACGACAACTGTGACGCTACATTCTTCTTTAATCGTTCAGTTCTCTGTGCTAGTCCTTCCCTTGAAAGAGATGACATCCGAGCATCACCTTCAGGAGGGACATAGGCATCAAATATGCCAGCTGTAAGGAGAGAAGAGAATTAATAAACTGTTGAAAGGCTGAGAAAAACTCACCTGGAGGTCATACAAAACTGGGAAGGACCCAAGATATAAAGCAGACTAATAAATAGACTTGCACATAGAGAAAGCTTTGTTATATTTGTGTAAGTATCCCAAGCTAACTGACTGCCTCACTAGAGTATCTTTTGCTGGACTTAAAAAATAAAAATAAGGGGCTGGAGATGGTTCAGCAGTTAAGAGCAGTTGCAGAAGACCTGGGTTTGATTCCCAGCACCCACATGGCAGCTAAAAACCACCTGTAATTCCAGTTTTAGGGGAATGTGAAGCACTCTTCTGACTTTCTTGGGCACTGTATGACACAGGTGCACCTACCTACATGCAGGCAAGATACACTCATACACATAAATAAAAAAAAAATTTTTTTAAGAACAATTTAACCCTTCTCTTAGAGTCTGTTTCTACTTCTATAAACTGGGGAAATTTCATTCTTTCTAGAGAGTGTGAAAATAAGATCAAAAGATGATCTTATGAGCAGGACTACTGGTGCAGGCTTGTGATCTCAATTACTGCTTCTGTAAGCATGAAAAACCCAAGGCTACCCTGATGAATTTAGCAAGATCCTGCCTCAAAAGAAAAAAGAAAGGGGGGGATAGATATAGCTCAGTGGTAGAGTGCTTGCTAGCATGTGAGGCCCTACATTCAATGCCCAGTACTACCCCAATAAAAAACAAAACCAAAAATAAAATTTATGAAATATAGTATAAAGTAAATCATTATTGAGGTTGAAATAAGTGGCTAATTTAATGCTATCAATCACAGTCCAAGACATTCCAAGAACCAGATCTCTGAGAGAACACTGGGTCAGTAACTCAAAAATACTATACCTTACCTGTACATGCCAGATGTATAGGACGTTCCAAACGTTCCTGAGGGATAACCAATCCTGCTTTCCTGGCATATTCCAGAAACTCCTTCTCTGTTTTATATTTGGGTTCATGAGGAGGGGGTCTGAAACGTTTTTTGGTTCTTACTGAAATTACAGCTGTAGATTGAGTCACCAGAACAGGCTGGAAGGTGAGAGAAAGGTTAGCATAGAAGTGACCTGGGGTAGAAAATCTATCTTGAACAAAGTGTAAGCAAAGTCTTATAGAAACGGCATATTCAAAGAATGCTTCAGGAGTCGTTATGAAACTATTATGGAGAAACTACTGCTTGAACCCTTAAAGATGTCTCTTACCAGAAGCCAATTAATAACCTTTATTAACACCATTCAACATTTACTAAAGGTTTTCCTTTAGTATATTCTCAAATACTACTGAATACAGAGTTGAGTAAAGCAAAGGACCCTCTGTCAACGAACTTTTAGTTTGATTAGAACCTTAATATCAATCCAATACTGAAAGGAGTGGAATGTTATTCTGTTGTTGTTTTGAGACAGGGTCACACTATGTTGCTCTAGCCGTCCTGGAACTCTCTTTGTAAACCAGGCTAGCCTCGAACTCACAAAGATCCCCCTGCCTCTGCCTCTCTGCCTCATGGGTGCCGAGTGCCGGGACTAAAGGTGTACGCCACCACGCTGGGCACTGGAATGCTATTATCAAAGCATAAGCAAGGTCTCTTTCTGGGCATTTCCTCCACTTCCACTTTTCTTACTATACTCAGGGTCTCACTGTCCTCTTTCATTCCGTCTTTCCGGCTCCTAACCGACAATAAGCTCTTTGGAGGCCAGGTGACCTTTTTCTCTGAGTTTTTCTCGGGTAGAGACGAAGCCTATACTGAACCTCCTCCTTCCCAACCATTTATATGAACGCAAAAGAAGCGATTCCGCCTTCAAGCCACAACTTCTTTCTCCTTTAACATCTACCCGTCATAGAGACCAGAACCAAGTGGAGAAACGCTGCGAACTCACTCGCCAAGGCCCCGCCCAGGATCTCTCCACAGCACCGAGAGATGTAGAGATACCACATTCACCTCAAATTCTTCCCCCAACAGGGCTCGGACTAAACTGCCCAAACTTATCAACGACAACTGGACGATTATTCCCTTTTACTCTGTCCTTCAGTTGCTAAAATTTTATCCGCCTCGTCCCTACCCACCTGCCGATACCACCAACCTAAAGTCCTGTATAAGCAAGACAACCCCCAAGGCACGGGGGCCGCCATTTCGTTCACGCAAAGGCTGCCGGGATTGGAGCTGAGCCTGTGGAACGCGGAGCCAGAGAGAAGGCGCACAGGATGGAGCGAGCTCGAGAGTGGAATTTTCCAGGGCACGCGCCCTCCGCCGAAATGTGCGCGGCGCGCTCGAGCACGCGCTCATGTGGATGGGGAGGGTGCAATAGGGACGCGCATGCGCAGTGAGACCTCATTGGAGCCAGGGTAAAACGCACGGCTGTCACGCGCCAGCCTATGAACCCAAGCGTCAGCTGCGCCTGCGCTTAAGGCTTTCTGGCGACACCGGGTTGTTACGTTCCTGGTTGCTTAACACATTGCTATACCTTATTTACATTCAGCAAAAAAA